CGCTCCCACACCCGCCAATTAAGATTGCTCCATTTTATTTGTCTAAAGAATTCAAGTACAAGATGGAAACGTAACATTACACACAAATGATAAGACACATGTGTATTCACCAATGCCTCATGCTATTACCAACGACACAAAAAGCATGCATCATGATTCGATACGTTCTCGCGTGCTTATAGTCGTTCTTCCGTCTTGCAGTACAAGAGTCTGCAATAATGAGCTGCCTCTCCGATGTCATGAATGCTCTGGCTCATATCAACTTTGCTGTTCTCGCGGCGTGCCGCAGGTGCGGGATTGATTGCCTTTGGCTGCTTATTGGAATTCCCCGTGGCCTCCGTTGCTTCAGTGGGCCTCGTGGCCCTGGGCGTCTTGACCTTTGTTTCTGCCCTGTGCGGATATTGTGGCTCGTACGGCAAACGGTGCTGCCTTCAGTCGTTCCTGGCGATCTCCACGGTATCCCTTGTGCTCCAAGCAGCATTCGTGATTTCAGTCCACGTGGATTTCGGTGGCGTGGTGGACAGCATCGTCAATGGCGGGAATTCCATTGACAGAAACGATGCAGAAAAGATCCTCGGCACTGGGAAATGGGTGTTTGTGGGCTTCTTGGGAGGTGGGTGCGAAAGCTGATGGGCGACTTGCAGATGATTTTGACTATTCCCATCAATCGTTTTCAATGTGCATAGCCTGCGTTTGTAAGCGAACTAATCACAAGCGAGGACACGGTGAAGTGATGGATGCAATGAAGCTGATGTCCAGTTTATTTCAAAGGGGCCTCATACATTGATCCGGTGCGAAGAATCATGGTCGCTGGTGAGTTTTGCAAGTGCGCTCAATCATCGCCCTCGAAAATATGCTTCATTGGGTTCCCCCTTCATGTCCAGCACGATGCTTTTAGCGTTGAAGTACTTCTCACTGGAGCGTGCAAGTGTTTCAGTATTGATAGGTCAAGGTTCTTTCAAAACCGATCTTTGTCTCTATTGTAAATGGATTTCACAAGCTGAAAAAGAGCGTGAATGGCAGCCGATAGGTGGCCACCGAAACTCTACTGCCTTTTGCCCATCGTAAACTATCGTATATTCCATGCACAACAGCTTCAAGATTCAACTTCTCTAAAGCTTAGAACAATACTGACGGAATGCAGAATTGACGCAATTGCAGTTCCACACAGAATCGCAGTATGAAATCCAACAAAACTGCACATTACGAAACAGGTGTGCCACATTCTGCCTACTTAGACCCCCGTTCTACCCCACCCTAGCTCCTTGCCACTCCCCATCCTTTACCAACGCGCTTGATGCGTTGCAGCACTACACTGCTTCTCCCTCGTTTACGCCATGGAGGTATTTTCGCAACAAAAATATTTTGCATTGAAACATTTCTATGGTTTGCAGCGGAGGGAGTGGCATTCATGGTGGCCATCATCTTGAGGTGCTGCCTTCGACAAGAATTGTCTTTTGACCCCCTGGAGGATGGGGAAGGTTCAAGCGCCAAAAGGGCAAGAGACAACAGCGAGGCGTTGAGAAAGCTACGTAATGACATCGAGCAGTCTAGGAGCGAAGATGTGTCCGGATATGAAAGGTTATTTGATCGCAGCGGCATTCCGAATTGTTCATACGGTTTTCAAAGGCACAATCGTGAGCATGATGTACTTGAATTGCTTATAAACATTTGAGCACCACAAGCACTATATTTCGCTTCTACGTTATTGAATTTTGTTTTGCGTATTGTCAGAAAAGCGGGCTTTCATTGATTTCCTGCATTTTTGCTGCATATGTAAGCAATGTGGCAAGCGGCGCCAGGTACTGCCTGCTCATTCTCGACACCACATCAAAATTTGATGAGCAGAAAATCTGAACAGGCTGACGACATGAATAATTTCCAATTCTGAAAATTTGAAAATTGCAGTTAATTTACGAACACGGCATTCAAAACCTCTTAGATACCGTACTATTTTATGTAACGATGAAAGCAGGGTAAAATCAAGTATTGAAGTTCGGATGCGCACTGAGGATAATATTAAAAATGTTCGTTCTCTCATGACATAAACATGTTCATTGTATCTCTGTTAGTCATCACAATAACCTGGATTATTAAATACTGGCATTGTATTTACATTGAATTAGAATCTGAAAATGGTAAGGAAATGCTGCGATGTGAGTATGCATGAGGCAAGCCAAATGAAGGGTGAAGGCTGCAAACTTCAGCAGAACTGCAAGTGCATTTCCCATGCCGAGTAGCAATGCCGTATAAATACTTGTTGCAAACACCTGAGCAGTATTTTCTTTCAATATATTTCAGGGTTCGCGCAAAGATGGCATCAAAATATGGGCACCTCAGCCACACTGTGGATTGGAAGAAAGAGAAAAAGAAATGGGGTTTCTTTGGAAGCCGCACAAATAGTGGATCCTGATGCGTGGAGAGCAACTGAACAGACTCTCGCGGAAATTCTCAAAGAGGAAGAGCAATTTTGTGACTGCATCAGATAGTTTCTGTTCACGTGGATGTAGTTTTTGCGCGTTCCACAACGACAGGGATCATTATGGTCGATTGAGAGGTGGGATCCGAGAGGGAACAAACATGCGAATGCCGGTGTCTGAAAGGGAAGTTCGTTCATAAGAACTACCACAATTCGCTGCAGCTTGTGCACTTGGTAGCTGGATGGTAGTATTGAGGGCTGTAATAACACAATGCATTTGATTATGCTGGAATCAAATTCCGAGGTTTGATTTTGCCATATCAGAGCCAATTGCGTATCCTACCTACGATCTGGTTGCCAGGCTTGGTTTTTACGCCGTAAAAACTGATCGTCTTAAAGTTTTTATGCGTAAAAATAGGTTTTACGTTTTTACGCCTAAAAATGCGTAAAAATACGTAAATACAACGTAAAAACTGCCAGGTGTACATAAGGACAGTACATACAGACTTACGGAGTCCGGAGAGTGGCAGCCAGACGCCCTGGAAGGGGCAGAAAACGAGTTTTTTGTTAAACACCATCACCGCCCTTGCCAAGGGCGAGGTGGGCATTGTGTTGTAAGTGCTGGATACGGCGGAGGACTGATCATTGTGCGCAACTTTCATCGTGTAATCTGGGGGTCCCAGGGAGCCGTGAAAACGTAAAAATAGCCGCAAAAATAGGCTCTTTTGCAAATTTACGCTTTTACGCGTAAAAACGTAAAAGCCAAAACGTAAACGTAAACGTAAAAACCAAGCCTGCTGGTTGCTGATCGGCGCTAAGGGAAGTTATAGCTTAGTGCTTGCGCACCTCAGAGTACTCCAACAGCATTAGTTGAAAACAGCATCACAAAATGGCAGCGATGGTCAACCACACGCTTTTGTTTCGTGCGCTATGCATCCTGCCCATATGGCAGACTTTGAGGTGGTCGTGGCATCGCAGAAGAGCCATCAGCGGCTTGCCAGGTTGCCGTTCAAATTGCTTAATTTTGGCAGGAATGAAAGCGCAGCAGCTTAGCTCAGTGCAATCTGGGGTCCAACTTGCGGAGGCACGTCCATTTCACATTAAACGCACGTTAAGTATTGGAACTCATGCGTGCTCCATGACACAACTCGTTGGAGATCGGCTTGTTTCTCAGCCTCACCGCCATTGTGGCTAGCAATCCAATGGTTCATGTGGCCTTTTTACTGTGTATAATCGATGATATCAGATAGGCACATGTCTGAATAAATCTTTGGAGGCTTCCTGCAGCGCCTTGGGTGCGAAACCCCAAAGCAATAGACAAAAAAGTGCATGGGCAGTCACCAGGCCAGTGCGCGAACACACCCTCCAACAACTCTGGTTCTTGAAGCCGGGTGGCGGCGCCCATGCACATGTGCGCTCTGAACTTGGATCATCCTGAGGACTGTGTGGAGACAACAGGGGTGCGGCGAGCTCTCAGGCAATGGTGCTAAGTCTTTATTAACAACAGCGTTGTTGTTAAACAATGGTTTACCTTTGCCTACGACCAGCAACTTTGCTGGTTGCATCAGATCGCTGTGCCTTTTTGGGTCCCTTCTATGTACGAGGTTCCAATTGTGAGTCTTGTGCTTGGGGGCTGCCGGACCGATGAGTTGATGGCGGCGCCCATGAGGACGTGGCACAATGAACATGCGCTGTCCTATCAAACAAAGAGCGGTAACGACTCAGCGCCTGGCAGATTGGAGGCCCATTCCAGGGCTTATCCATATATTGCAAGTCGAACAGTCTCCATGCCTTCTGCTTGTCTGTGTGGGAGCATCAGAGGCCGTTTGTTTGTGCAACGTAAGCCTTGTGCGTCATTTGTGCTGGCGCTACTTGCAATTGGACAAAGTTCAGTGTGGGCTCTTCAGTGTACGAATATCATCGTGTATAGCGAACAACCTGCGAATTGTGCCGCGTTTCGAAAATTGGCAGGGTGCGTGTCCTTGCAACGACGTGGTGCATCACCATCGGTGAACATAGAAAGATGTAGTTGATATCTTGAATTCAGCGAATGAAGGTTTGGCGGTCTGATCGCTTCAAATACACCCACATGCGGCAATTTTCAGAATTCGCGCAATGCCATCCGAAGCACTCTTTTGCGCGGCTGCTCTGGGGGACTACATGGGCAATTGGTGTTCTGCGGCCATCGGGAGTGCCTGTGCCAATGCTGATCATTCCAACGTATAATTGTCTTCATTGCGCGTTAAATCGAGGGCAAAGCATAAAGGGCCTGTGCACGGGCAGCATCCAGTCCGTGCACCTCCCCCTGGCGCTCAACCCCGGGGCAGCGGCGCGGCGGACGGCGATTTGGCGCCAAGCGCGTCCCCTCGCGAACAGCTGCCCCGCTTCTTACCCACCAGAAGCTCGTCGGCGATTACGCATCGACGTCCTCTGTCTCCATCAACTGCCCCGTCGTACGACGGGTTCCCAGTGGTCGCCAGCATTCCCTCGCACGGAGTTTACGCTCGCAATCATATTGCCCTTGTATCCCAGCCCAGTGCGCCGCAGCGAGAGCCCAGAAATAGGGACGTAGCGCGCAAAAATGTGGCTCAACCCCCCGTCGCGGGGCCCCGCCATCCCTTCCGGGATCGTGCGCCTTTTGGTTTTGTTCCCAGCCTTCCTGGCCCTTTTCTGCTTGCTGCTTCAGGTGAGCTGCGCGCGAATACCCCAAAAGTTGCGCCTGAAGCCTCGAGACCAGCCTCTGGCAGGTTTCTGTCCTCTAGACGCTGAATTGTCGCATTCCGAATCATGTTCAGGTGCAGAAACGGTCTGTCGATGCCGAATTCGGCGTGGCTGGCTCAGGACAGCTTGTGCGCAACCCAAGGTAACGACGTTTGGGCGGTGCGGAAGCTGCCGTTATGAGGGCTCTGTGTGTGTGGAGCTTGGAATTGGCATTTGCCACGATCGCAAGATGTCCATTGCAGCCTGGTTTTCGTCCCATGTGCTTAGCTACTCATACAGGCTTGGTCCAGCGTCTTGACCACAAGGCTTGGTGTATGCACCGGACAGTCTGCAGGCTGATTTGGGCGATGAGCCGGAAAAGTCGCTGCCATCTGAAATGGAGGACTTGGTACGTGAAATGAACTCGATTGCTCAGCTAACTGGGGGCATCAAACAGGGATCCAAGGTGAGGTGCTTTTAGTGCATCAATGCGTTGTGTGTTCTTGTTTCATTAGAGTTCGAATGTTTTGAGGAAAGGCCCCATGTGTGATATAACATAATGCTGCCGCACCTTCGTGGTGCGGGGCAATTGGTGGTGTGAAAGCTCATGCAATGTGCTCATCTGCTGCCAGCCTTCTGCGACTCTGCTCATCTTTTGCACTTGGTTTCTGAACTTCTAAAATTGAGAACGTCCTGTCTTTGTTCTCTTCCCCAAGATGCAGAATGGTAGAAGGAAAATGCTGGTATAGAGTGTTTGAGCATCAGGTTACAGAACTGTGTGTATTTGTTGTTGATGTGCTTTACATTCTCTCCCCTTGGGTAGTGATGTCAAGTGCAGTAGTATTTGGGGACAGCAGCAGAGTTTTTTGCTCCAGATAGTATGTGTTCATGAGATGAAGGTGTGTTGGACCGTAACAGTTGGCCATCGCCACTACCACGGCTGCTGGACTGGACACCATAAAGGTGTGGATGCGCTACCACAAGACCATTGGTGTCTCGATGTTCTATCTCTTCTTGAATGGCCAAGTGAACCATGAGCCAGCAATAAAGGAACTCAATCGGTGGAGTGGAGTCAAGCTCTTTCCTAACGATGAAAAGTTGAAGCACAGGCATGCCCACAGTCGGGCATGGAATGAGACGTGGCTGTCTGCCTTCTTCAACAAGCCATGTAACAACGAGCTCTTTGTGATGCAAAGCTTGAACATGGAAGGTAAGTGCCGCAACACCTGCATCCACAACTTTGCTTGACCATATTGGCAGTTTTTGAGCTTTGCGTGCGATGGCAGCTGCAAACTGTCTATCAGCAAGGTGTGTCAGCAGCTTTGAACTTGAAAGCCCTGTGATGTATCCCTGCTGTGGTCACAGTGTATGCTGAAGGAATCTGTCTTGTGGGAAGAAGAGCACAGGAAGTGCAAGAAATCATCTACAAGCAGTGTTTAGCTCAATTTCTGTTCTGGTTGCCCACCAATTGGCCAGAGCTTACGTACCGGCCTATGTTCCTTCTTTGTTGATGGGTTGTGAGCCCAGTATCCCAGAAGTGAGATGGTGTGCTGCTTTGTTCATGAAGGGGCACAAGTCCAATAGCTCGCTGCTATTGCCAGTAGAAGCATGAAACACAGCAGCCCACAATATTTTCAGGCAGGTGCCATTGAGAGATGTGCGTGTTTCATACAGCACGGATACAGACCACATTTGCAGCGATTGTCCTGCTCAGTCACTGCTCCATCAATCAACTCTGGAGCTGCACTGCAGTGCGCTGCATATTCTACACAACATTATCACCTGAAACGCACAAGCTCTAATCCTGTTCAGCCCATTTAGCACCAGGTACTTTGGTTCTCCCTTGCCGCTGCTGTGGACATGGCTGGCAGTATTGCGTGGGAAACCAGGCCAAGACTGGATCAGAGTATTGTACCTGAACTCACCAGACATTTTGCACCTGGATGACCTGCTGCCATATAACTCTTCACGCTTGGCTGACACAGCAGGTGTCCAGTGTGCACAATGTGCAAAATTAAGCAACGGGTAGGCTTTGAGACGGCAAAGGCGCACTGATTTGCACTACATCTGAACAAAAAGCAGAAGATCAAATTGGTGTTGGTAAAATTGGTCAGCACTTGCAGGTGTACTGAGGCAACTTTTCCAGAGGACACTCCAGTGTGCTGTGTTGATGATGCATTGCTGGCGCATCTGAAAATTTTGTTGCTGATTTGCTTCATTGTGCATTGATTTTTTTGTGTCTTCCACAGTTGCAATTATGCAAGCCAGAGAGGACGGAGTAGATTGGATTTTTCACCTTGACACAGATGAGTTGCTGTATCCAGGAGGCACTGAAACATTCAGCATACAGGAGTATATGGATGGGCTGGACCATGATGTGAGCATTGTGCCTGACGCTGTTCTGCCTTAGATATTTGTCACTGAGTGGCAATGCACAAACCTTCATGCAACACCATCACACAACACAATACGCAATGGTGTTACGATGCAGTACAATGCCTGGCTTCGTTGTTATTGATGCCGATGTGGTAGCAGGCTGTTGGGACCTTTGTCCTGTACAGTCTTGTTATTGAGTCCTGTGAACTTTTATCTGGTAGACAACTGCTGTGCCTTTGGGTGTTGCTGAGGACATAGTCGATTGTATGTGGCATTGTCATGGCTGTTGTGACGACACTAGGCTTTGGCCTGCATTCGTTTGCGCTGTTCTTTTGGCACAAACGTTCATCGATCCCATCAATGCAGCCAAGGTTTCTCAAGCACGTACGACTGACCGACACAGAGGGTGTTGGGATGGCCTGCAGTTAGTTCCCATGCTTCTGTCAAATCCACACTCCTGTCCTTGAAATTTGTTCTGCTTTTGCTCTGCTTCAGGTCGATGCCGTTGTGTTCCCCAATTATGAGGGCCTAGCTGAGACAGATGACATCACCAACCCCTTCACTGAAGTAACTCTTTTCAAGCGAAACTTTGCCCACGTCAATTCAGAACAGTACTTCAAGAAATACAAGATGGTTGCAAGGGGCAATCCAAACTATTTCACAACATACGGCAACGGCAAGTCTGCGGGGAAGATTCAGCCACACTTGAGATCCAATGGGGCGCATCGGTGGTACATATATGGGAAGAAGCCAAAGTGGGTGCTGGCATGGTACTGTAGCATCTGGCTGCCCCATTGTCCCTGCGGTGAACCATAACTGCAGTGTCCAATGTGAATGTTATGGGTTGCCTGTCCTCCAGTTATTCTTGTTCAAAATTGAGTTCAGTTTGTTGCAAGACAATGACAGTGGCGATCGCCTTTACCTAAAGATGAACCCAAGGCATTCGGGATGCAATGTGCTGCTGTTGCCACATAGCCTGCTTTTTCAACCTGGGTGCACCAGTCTTGTGGTTTAATGCCAAAATTTTGTATTCTCTCCTCCATCACTTATTGTGCCTTGCTCATGGATGATATCAGTGTTGCATGCTCTTCTGCATGCATCCTGAATCATGTGCAGCTTGAACAAAGGGACATCAAGGAGTTTGGCTCTGGAGATTTATGGTCTGTTTGGAAGTTGTCTTTCCTTATTTTGACATTCATAGACATATTTTGCTGTTGTCAGGGAGATTACCTCCACAGAGCCCACGGTACTGCATTATGTCTACAACAAATATGCTGACCTCAAAGGCAGGCGAGACCGGTGCGATTGTGCCCCCACTGACGAGGATGTTAAACGGTGTTTTATTCTTCCATTTGACAGAGAGGTATGCAACACTGCCCGGTTGCTTCTTTTTGGTGGCCCTTGCTCTGCTGGTGCCTCATGTGCTGTTTGGTTGTTGCCATTGTGCCATTGTGGAGCCCAGCACGAATGCATCGTTGTTTCACCATCACCACACTACAAGAGCTGGCGATGGGGCAGGATGGCCTCAAGGCAATTTTGAGGATGCTGCAGGCCTTGTATTTTTGTTTTATTGCTTTAACCTGTCAGGGCAAGACAATACCCAGCACTTTTGAGTCTTCTGCTTGGAGCTGTACTTCGATATGATTGCGGCAATGTGGTAGAATGCCTGTTCATGCTGGTTGGCAGAGGGCTGACACGCTTGTTGGCAGATGTGACCATTGCTGTGACTGTGTGCCATTGTGTGCTCACTGTGCATTTGAATGCCAGGCCTTTCTTGCAAGCTCTCTGAAGGAAGACGAGGAGCTTCGGCAATACTTCAGGGAGAGACTTGTGTGGAGTGAGCGCGATAACGTTAGGGAACTCCTTAAATCTGGCCTAGTGGTGCGCATCCACACGCCCCAGTTGTTAACACAAATGTACAGCAAAATGCCAGACGCTGGCCTCATTCTTGCAGAGCCAGGAGAATCGAAGACCACTGTTATGGACGCTTACCAAATGCCGGTAGAAGAATGATGAGGAGGTGAAGACATGGATTATGCAGGGCTGTGTGGATGATAGAGACTGAGTATCAGAATTGCCTATAGTCTGGCATCAGCGCGCTGCAAATAACAGTTTTAGGGAAGAGGGTAATTTCATGCTTTGCAATCCTTACCCAGGCTGTTCGATTCCAGATTCCCAGTAGTTAGTTAGGTAAATTTTTGTTGCTAACTTATTGAGGCATGCTTTGGGGTACTGTTTTGCTGCCCTACAGCAGCGCCTGGGTGGTTTTGGGTGTGCTAGGGCACAGTGATCCAAGCAGTTTGGTGCAAACAGACACAGTGATCCAAGTAGAGTTTGGGAACAATTCTTGTGGGTGCCTGTTCTCAAATGTGTCAGCAGGCTTAGAGGGCAAAATTTCTGAAAGCAGAGAGCAGACAGCAATGCGGTTGGCAGCCATTTCATCAATAACTAACACCCTGGTTGGTGTCAATAAACAGATGCTCATAGTTCCCCTCAACCACATCTGTTTGCAGGGGCTTCTATTTCGCTATGCGACATCCATGCCAACAAGTGCTGCAATCGTGCAGAAGCAATCAATTCACTTCGCATTGATGGTCTTGGTGTGATATGTACTGTCGAATAGAACCTTGCACCCAAACTGCTGGTTACGAATAATCAGGCTTGGTTTTCGCGTTTACGTTTACGTTTTTACAGCTCCCTGGGACACCCAGATTATACGATGAAAGTTACGTACAATGATCAGTCATCCGCCAACTCCAGCACCTGCAACACAATGTCCACCTCGCCCTTGGCAAGGGGGATGATGGCGCTTAACAAAAACTCGTTTTCTGCCCCTTCCAGGGCGCCTAGTTGCCACTCTCCAGACTCTGAAAGTCTCTATGTTTGTTTGTTTCTTCCTAACATGGATGCATCGACATGACATCACGGCATCGATCAATGTAGCATACCTCCTTAAGTCTGTATGTACTGTCCTTATGTACACCAGACAGTTTTGCGTTGTATTTATGTATTTTTACGCATTTTTACGCTTAAAAACGTAAATACGGTCAGTTTTTACGGCGTAAAAACCAAGCCTGCGAATGACACGCATAGACAAGGACAATAGAAAGGGGGAAAGAAGGGGCTCTCCAAAATATGAAAAGGTCTTCAGAATTTCGGACTACATCTCATCACATAGACACGCGCACGATTCTAGCATTTTTGTTGTCGATGGATGACAGGCTGCGTTCCCATAATGTTTGCGAGGGCAAGTGAACGGTTAATGTACGATATATGATATATGGTGAATTTTGATGGTGGAAGGTAAATATGGTGAAGATGGTGTTATGGTGAATATATGTGGGGACAATGGAGATGAGGAAGTGAACATTATTGCAGTGATTGGTATTTAGTCGATACAATCATCTTGTAATGCATCCGGTTGCGGTTTTGCTTCCCGTGCCTGGGAGCGACCGTATGCGGGCGTGTGCGAGAGAGACCGGTCAACTTGATATGGTTTCGGAGCCGGGAACGGACCCTGGAGGTCCAGGTGTCTGATGGAGGCGTGGGAAATGCTGCCATCCCGTTTTCCAATCCCCGAGCACTGCCATCGTTTAGGCGGTGCTCGGCTTGGTGGTGTTGTGGGAGGCGATGGTGGACTTGAGGTGCCGGGTGGAGGCCACGGAGTTGGATTGACATGGCTCATTCCAAGCGGCCATGGTCGGGTGGAGGGATGGGGAATGGAGGCTCAGGGGATTGGCGCACCAACGACGCGGCCACCCGATGGCATGGATGCCGGGCCACACCCCTAACCCTACCCCGCTCGGGATGGGGGCCGCGACCTTTCTGTTTCTGGGAGCAGCGACCCGCCGATTGGCACAGCAGGGGCGGCCGTGGATTGAGCGACGAAGGAAGCGGCAGGAAGGCGACTGGAGGCGCAAGATGACATGAGTTGTGCGGTGGGGCAGGCGAGTCAGACGGGTGCAATTGAGCGCGCCATTGGCAAGCGTGGAGCCCATTGGAGCGTCATGGTGGCAATTCAGTGCAGCCGGCAGGCAAGGTGCGGCGATAGGCCCCCGGCAAGAGGTGCCACGGCGACCGGTGGAATTGATGGAAAGGCACGGCACGAGGATGCCCGCGGGGGCTGACGGGAGCCCATTGGAGCGAAGCGCGGAGGCAAGCCCGGTGGAAGGGCGGGTCCCTTGCAATTCAATGGGCCGGCGGGGCCAACGCGACTCGGCGGCCTGAAGAGACCTGCGCGGCTCGGCGGACAGAGGCCATGGAAAAGGCATGGGAATGGCTTACTAGCCATTGGCGAGCAGTGGACGCGGCATGTCAGCATGGCGGGTCCCTCACGGATGGCATCAGCTCTTCTCCATAGACAGTAAATGGGCGCGCGCGAGCGTGGGCCAACGGTGGGAAAGCGGAGTGGCAGAACGGGGGCCTCGGAGGCCAGGGGGGGCTAGGATCGCGGGTGTAAGGGGTAGTCACGGAACATTGTATATTATAAAATGTTTGGGGACATTGTACAATAGGGGACACTCGCTGGAGGGGAAAACACAGCGCATTGTATAATAGGAATCCTCACGGGAGCTTTGTATATTAGAGAAACCAGGGCCAGTACTTAAAAGGGATAGAGCTTATTAGAAATAGCAAATCGGGTGTTTTCTTAATACCGAGAACAAAGGGGAAGTATTGAGGAGGAACCACCGTGTTGGTCAGTACGGTAGGAGTGGATCTCGGGGACCATTGGGTTGGTGGGACAGAAGAACAAGGGACAGGGTGGTTCAAATTACAAAACCCTGGCATATATGCCAGAATTAGGGTGACTCACCCAATTCTGGCATGACCCTTGGGATGTCTTGGGGAGGCGGGTATAAATACAGACACACGAGCCAGTTTGTAATCGAAGTTGCTGCCAAGTTCTCACTCGACCGGTCTCCGACTCGAACGGAGAAAATGGGCCATGTCCCGTCCAGTAGAGGTGGCCACCCGGATCCGTTAATAGCGGACGGGGGTTGCCATCTGTTAATATCCGTTAATTTAGCGGACCCCTCTGCTGCTCTTGGCTTCTCTGTTGCTGACGTGGTACGGATGGTAGCGGACGGCTGGCCTCAATTAGCGGACTTTGCGGATTCCGCTTGGGTGTTAATGGATATTCTCTTACGGACCGGAAGCCATGTACCCCATCCGCTAATTTAGCGGATGACAGTGGACGTGTGTACCGAATCAGCAGATGACAGCAGAGCCCATGCAGTAAGTACTGATTTCCGAATCTGGGGATCTGGTTGATTGCCAGCGTGGCTCAGCCAGGGTCCACATACAGCAGACGTTGGCTGTGACTGCACACATATTTTGTTGCCCTCCTGTTGCCATCTGCCATCTCCAACCCCTGCCGCCCCATGCTTGGTTCATGGACCCACCAGGTGAGGCATACCGTGCTCTCCTGCTTCAAGCCGCAGCATGGGCAAGGTAAGGGAATGCCCTTAGTACCACCTGCAGTGGCGGGAAATGCCGGGCCGCGTGGGGGAAGGGGGGTCTCGGATGATCTGTTGGCTGAAAATCTATGTGTGGCCGGATTCAATCTGCCGGTGATACACAGGCATAGCGCGCTATCCTGTTTTGTGGCTGGGGCAATGCCCTCAGTACCGCCTGCTGTGGTAGAAAATTCCGGGCCGTGGGGGGTGTTGGGGGGGGGTCTCGGATGATCTGTTGGCCGAAAACCTATGTGTGGCCGGATTCAATCCGCCGGTGATGCACAGTCAAAAGTATTAGCGTGCTCCTGCAGAATCAATTTCCGCACACCGGTTACGTGTTGAGGATTCTCAATCAGGGTCAGCAAAACAGTTGTGTGGATTTTACCTGAGCTGGCCTTTGCGGGCACAGGCGCTCCTGCTTTTTCTAGGTGTGTATCCTCCTCTGCCGCGGCCTTTGGGAAATTCCGGGCCGAGTGGGGTGCTGGGGAAACTCAGATTACTTGTGGACTGGAAACCTATGCATAGCCGGATTCAAGCCGCCGAGCAATGCACAAGCATATCGCGGTGTCCCGCTTCACGGCACCCTGTGGCCAGGGCAACGCCCTCAGTACCGCCTGCTCTGGCGGGGAATTCCGCGCTGCGGGGGGTGTTGAAAAGGGGGGGTTCTCGGATTATCTGTGGACTTTGAAAACCTGGGTGTCGGCGGATTCAATCCAGCGAGTGATACGTGGGCATAGTGTGGGCTTCTGCTTCGGGCCGCCTGCTTTACTGGGAGATTCTCCCCGGGGAGGGGCGGATTATGTGTGGACTTTGGAAACTTGGTGGCACATGGCCGGGTGGGAAGATCATGGCCGGGGATTGACTTCACTCCGGGATTTTGCCTGCGACCCTCACCACTTGTGTTACTGTATTCGCAAAGTCCTCAGGCGCTACCAATGCTGAAACGGAAAGCAAGCAGGGGCGCCTTGAACACGATGGATGTGTAGGTGCGGTGGACGTGTACCTCTGTGCAACAAGCCTGAGTGCCGCCTATTGTGGCTGGGTGCTGTGGTTGGTGGCAGTACCCGCCATCACATGGCTGGGGAAACCTTGGCAGTTCGTTCCTTCCATGTGGCCATGCATTGCACAGGGTGCACCACTTGTCGCTGCAATACCCATCGTCTTTGCTTAGATGCCACCAACATTATTTGGCAGTACCTGCCGCCACCTGGCTGGGGAAATCTTACCACTTTGTTACTTTTATTTGGTTGCACACTGTACAGGGTGCGTTATGTGTCGCTGCAATACCCATCGCCTTTTTTTCCTTATGTGTCACCACCATTTTGTGGCAGTACCCGTCGTCCCCTGGCTGGGGAACCTTAGCAATTCGTTCCCTTTATGTGGCCGTGCATTGTACAGGGTGTGTTGCACATCCTGCAATACCCAACGCCTTTCTTTGCTTGGATGCCACCACCAATATGTGGCAGTACCTGGCATCAGCTGCCTGGGGAAGCCTTCCCAGTTTGCTCCTTTTATTTCGCCGTGCATTGTTGATACGCCGTGTGGGTATTAAAACCC